AAGGCTGAACCAGCCACACAATTGTTATCTTGTTCTTTATTTTATGGATGCTGAGTCAGCATCCATACTATGTTATCCTGGTCTTTATTATTCTGGTTTCTTCCTTTCGTTTTTTGGCACTTAATTTTTCAGCATACTTTCAGCTATGAAAATTGTTCGGGTATTGACATTCAGCTTTTTAAGGACGTTTTTGCTATTACTTTTCTTGTTTTTAACCTTTATACTTTAAACTATTTACTGTCTATTTACTTGAAATATTTAGCTTTATTTTAAAAGTTTTGCCCCATTCAAATGAATGGGGAAATTCTACTTCAGCATTCTTTCAGCTATTTCAGCCATCAAAATGTTCAGCTCCTCAAGGACATTCATGCTTCTCTTCAGGGTTTTCTATACTTCATACTTTTGAAATATTTAGCTTTATTTTGAAAATCTTGACTAGGGGTGCTCCAATCAGGATTTTTGGGGCCGATCACCGTTCACTAGAAGCGCTATCGTCCGATACCGATCACCGATTACAGGGTCCACTTGAAGCCTCATCATGTATCATTTATTAAACTATATTTAACAACAATGTAAATTAAGTATTGAAATTACAAGAAGAGGAATATCATGAATTGACAACTGCATTTATTGGCAAGAAACATGTTCAACACTTCAACTTAAAACATAGCAGCCTGTGCTTGCCTTGGTTAGTAACTGGGAACAGCTTGGACTTTGAAAAATACAACTTTCCTGTTGATTATATAAAAATAAATAAAATAAGAGAACAAAGAGTCTTTGACTTTAGCTTTAGAGTACTTTTAACTTTAGACTAAAAACTGCAACAAAAAAGGCTATAGTCAGAATTGTGTTTCAAGTCAGCCGTCATTTTTTCTAATTTATTTTAAGGACCACAGGTGGTAATAAATTGCACAACAAAAATAAATAAAAAAACTACAAATAAAAAACTTGCATCTCCATATCTGTATCTGTTTCTATCAACTACAACTTTAACTCAATTCTCAGGGCAGGACTAACAAGCCATTGCAAGTTCACATCTCTTGGGATGTCAAGAAGAAAGGCAGTTAACTA